AAATTCATTTTGTTATGAAAAATATATATTTTATTAATGAATGTCTTCAGGAACACTGTTGAACAAAGTATGTTATACTATGCTTGACAATGATCTCCCTGAAAAAAACAGGTCATTGTAATTCAGGCTGTAGATAGATTATAAGATGCTAGTTATCTTCCACTGTAAATGAAATACTTAGTTTAAAAAGAACTAAGTTTTTTGTAACATTCTTGGAAATAATAGCCCCTACAAGGCAGCTATCCATTGAAATTCATTTGCATTTATATATCATGAACCATTTAATACTTTTGCTACAGGCATCTTTTTCTGTGCATGTCACAATATTTTAGTGAGTTACATTCAAAACTTAATTAAACTACTTTCTTATCATGATATACGAATAAATGTGGCATAAAAACGTAGCTAATAATCCAAGTATTATATTATATAAGTATTAAGTTTTCAATTTTATGAAGGAATATTTTTAAAAAATCCTGGATTTCCTTTAGTATGAGTAACGTCATATTTTCTCTCTTGGTATCCCCTCTTCTCTAATTTATTTACCATCCCTCCAAAAAGTTGGAAATTTAATATAAATTACTCATAATGATATTGTCATTGCTCAGGCAAAGGATTATTTTTATAGCTTTCAATCTTATTTGGAAGTCAGACCCATCTTGCCATGGTCACCTGTCACATCTTTTCTTTCACAAACTGCCAATAGTTCTCTTTGATGTTTAATACTATAAAATTTATAACCAATAGAAAGCCAAAGTTTTAATCTCTCAAATAATGCATTATATTACATTGTTTTCCATACAGAGAAATATCTATTTTGCTTCCAGTTCAAACTTTATTCCCATGGGAAACACATCGATGAGCTTAGCTGAATTTTTAATGGCCTTTGTCACATGGTTAGAACGCCAGAGAAACTGTGGTAGTTAGGGGACATTGCCTGCTTTTTGTATGCTATTATTCTGTGTTATTTGGTGCATTATTTATTTAAACAAGAAATTATTTACTGCAATAGTACCATTAGTATAAAAAAGTAGGGTTAAGTTTCATCAACAGTTGACAGCAAAAGAAGACCCAGGTAAGTACTTTATTTCTTGTTTTTTATGTGTATTATTTACTTACTATTATAAAAGTAAAATTTGAATATTAAAAGCTATTTATGTTAGATAAAATTAGATTAGGTAAAATAAAGAATACTAATAATACAAATTTTTCACGAGGTATGTTCATGAGCAACTCATGAGTAGTCTGTGCATTATGTAATTTGATAGGGTAACGTGAGCTATGTGACTACCAGGCAATTTACAAATTTTATGGTGGGAATCTTAGCTAGACATGGTTCAAAGGAGAATAAAACAATAAGATTTAAGTATCAACAGATGTATACTGTTTTGAATTTAAAGGTATTTAGGATAAACAAATGTAGTTTCATGTTACAATTTGAAGTCATACTAGAAAGAAAGAGTAATTTAAATTTATTAGGATTTTTGTTTTGTGGCTATGAGGTCGGTCAAATTAACCAACATCGTATAGAGTTAGAGTAGAGAAAATACAAGATAAAATATAATGTTTTAGTGAAAAAAACGTTTGAAATTTATTTAGGAGGCTTTAGAGATTACACAAATGAAATTTGAGAATTTTCAGATGAAGAAAAGTATTTTTAATCTTAACATGAAAATCACTTTGCACTCAGAGCAGTCAACACTTTGACTCCATATATTCATGGAGAAATTTTTAGTAAAAATACTTCATTAAAAATTCAGAATTTTTGTCTACAAATGTCTTAATGATTACCAAAAGCTTGCAAAATTTTGGGAAGATACACAAAACAAATTAGAAGTTATAGTATTGTAACTATAAAGTTCAATTTGGGGTCACAAACTGATCTGATTTGACCAAGCTCATAGCAAGAAAGTTAATGCATATATATTATTCCAATTTATATGAAATAATTTAACACAAAAATTAACTCTTTAACATTCAGTAAGTGTATGCTAAGCTCTCTTCACAATTATTAAACTTGGTCAAACTACATGCTGAAGGGCTAGGAAACTACAAAGTTTTGCCACAACCCTCACTAGAACTTTCACAATCATTTTAGTAAGAGCAATTGAACACATCTTAAAACCAAATATCTTTAGTTTATCATCTCTACAAGTAAGAAAAATGGCATGTATTTTATTATTTTTATATATTTTTGAATTTTTGTTGGTATTTTTAATCACTTGTTTTAATCTTTATTGTTCATACACCTTTAATGTTTTATAGGATCAACATTAAAAGCTGTATGTTCAGATAATAATTTGTAATGACGTGGTGTATAAACATACCATGCATTTTCTACCTTTTTTATCATAATGTAATTTTTTTTGGAATTAGTTGTTTTGTTTGCTATGTCCAATTTTCACATAACACATGTCAAGAAATCTCTTAAGTTAATTTTTCTCTAGTTGACTTCATTTCTTTGTCATTATCAGGAGATGATATCTCTACTGCTCATAGGTGATAATTATTTAATGCTGCACATCATGCAAGGATGCTGACAGCAGTACTTGCCAATGGTAGGCTAGGTGATATATCGAGTAGAGCTGGAAAGTTAACCTGTTTAATTGGCATAATTCATTACCTATGAGCATTATTAGTGCCACATAAAATAATTGATTAATCAGAGTTATGATTTAATGTATTAATGTCACAAAAATAAACAAATCAAAATTAGCATTTCTGATTTTTGTTTTCAATTATTAGAACTAGCCAAGTAATTGAAATACTACCATTATGGTTTCTCATTATTATTTTTGATTAACCTAAGGTTATTCAACTTAATCAGTTAGTGTTGCAACCCATGAAAATAATCAACCAATTAAAATTAGTGTGTCTGATTATTAGTATTTTCAATTATTCCAACTACCCAAGTCTCATGTGAGAATAATCTATTAGTTGAATATAACTGATTAATGATCCCAATGATTAATCAAATATCAAATTCCACTAATCACCCAGCTCTAATCTCGAGGTTACAACCTCTTTTATGTTTGAAAGAGAATGACCAGGTATCGTAAGTTTTCATTAATATGGATTGTAGAATGCCCCTTCTTTAGTATTGTCTCCTCTAACAGGACTTTGACATCTCTACACTTGACGTTGTGACCTTTTGATTATGTATATTCATTAGTCACATAGTCTTCAATATGAAACAAGTTTGTTGCATGTTGGAGATCTTTGATTCTAACATTAATTGGTTATTTGGTTTCACCAGAAGTTTCTAGATCACAGGAGTAAGATATACTTTAAATGACAATACATAGTCCATTTGTTTACTTTATCTAGGCAGTCAGATGGTTTTCATGGTCAGATCCTGTTTCAAGCATGTTTCTTGGAAATTTTTGATTGTGATTGCTTTGATGATCTTTTTTTAATTGTAATAGTTATTGGTTATGTTCACAGATTTCTTTTAATATTCTTATTTCAATGTCTATATATTTGTTACAAATGATACATCTTGCTCTATTTTTAAAGTTTTCTTGAAGCCAATTACTGTGGTAGTTGGATGAGATTACAAATAATGGATGTAAAGCAGTTGGTATGGATCAGTTACCTGAATGGTCTTGTTGTAAAGTCATTGTTACTTTTGATGATTTTTCAGGTGATTTATTAATTTGTTTTGGTTATTAACTCAATGATACACAAGGGATATTTGTATTAGCTATTCCTATTTTTGAATTAATAGATAGAGGAAAGGGAGCTAGTCAACACCACCCCAACAATGTTTGGGCTGCTCTAATCAACTAGTGGGGTTTGACCATCACTCTTATGATGTATCCTCAGCTACAAACAGCAGAACAGTATTTTTCAGCAACAGCATGCTAAGCACTAGGCTACACCCAGCCCTCAAGTGGTTCCATTACCTTTTTAATTTGCTGTTATTCTCTAACATAAGAAATAGTGACAATTACTTTGTCTCTTGTATTAAAGTCTATATAATTTATCACATGTTCTTGTAGCTGTGATGGCAGAGTTAGAATCAAGCATGCCAACTGTTGAGGATATTATGCAGCAGGTGGACAAATTTGTAAACAGTGGTTCCAAGTACTTGGATGTTCCTCATATCATTGATGTCATGTTGCCCATGCTATGCAGGTTAGCAAAAGTTAAATACAATTTATCAAACATTGAGTTGAATTAATTCAATAAGTATTAATTTTATATATTTTTTAGAAATGTTTTAAATTACAAAGGTAAGTGCTCCCAGAATTGTATTAAAATTCTGTTGAAAGTAAACATGAACAGCAACTGAAAAATATATATCAGTTAAAGAATGTAATTAATGTAATACATGAAACTTATTATACAACTTACATTTTGTTCAGTATCACTAAAACTTATTTCAGAAATACTTATGACTTAATTTGATATTTCTTTATATCTTAAAATCGTATTTTTCATTTTCTCGTAACTATGGTTTGTGAGTATAATTAAGTATGAATAAAATTATTTTTCTTACTAATACATATTAACGTTGTTAATAATAATTCATTATTGTATACCATTACGAATCTACACCATGATTATGAAGAAAACTTGATATTTAAAATGATTAAGTATCCTGAAACTACTTGTTTTAATGGGATAAGTTTCACCAGAAGCACATTCAGGTCTTAAGTTTCATTCAGAAATGTGTGGAAATTATACAGAGTGCTTCAAAACTATATTATACTATAAACCTAATTTACTTTTTCGTACACTTGCATTGCTTTTATTTCTCTGTTTCAATAATACAGAATTGGTGATTTGAGTAAAATGTGTTTCACTATGTAGGATATTGCAATATTAATGAACATTGTCCACAGCAAGTGATGCTGGCAGTAGTTTCTCTTAAGGATAAGCACTGTATGCTATTTGAGAATGATGGAAAGTACAGGGAGTCCCAGAAGTATGGATCCCATAGTGAAAAATACACAATTTATTCTTAATTTATTTATCATTCAAATTGTATGCCATTAACAGCCATAAACATATCAGTTCTTGGTATACTTTTCCATCAGAGTATTTTCTCTACTGAAATACGTACAACTGACATTAGAAATGTGTTTGTTTAACTTCAAGAATATATTGTATATTTTTCCTCTGGGTCCAGACTTCTGGAACACCCTGTATATTGAACACTTTTTGAAACATTCATTATTTATAGCCACACTTTTCTGATTCTTAAAGTGTTCGTAGTGACATTTAGTTCACGTAGAACAAGTAGTTTTTAAGATATAACTGCTTCAAATATGAAATTTTCTGTAAATTCACTCTATTTTCAAAAATAAGAAATATGCATTTTCCATTACATGCAGTCTTAGGAGAGTTCATTCCTTATTCCTTAAAATAATTTAGTGTGTTTACTTTTATAAGCTGTGTTTTATAAGTTTGCACGTTACAGAACATTCTATTATAGGTATTAGTTTCATTCTTTCAAAATTTATCACACAAATTTGTGTAACATTCACACACACACACATATATATGTATATATATAAACAAACAGTACCTTCAACATTGAAATATGTGCAATTCCTATTGTACAAGTACTGTTGAAATATTTCTACATTTAAATACCTTTTTTCATTTTCTTTAACAGTTATCTCCCTTTCTGGTGGAGTCAGGGACCTGACAATGTGAACTTAACAACAGGGTAGGGAAATAACCTGTTTAATACGTCTTTGTTCAGTAAAAGAAAAAACAATATTGATTTTGAACATTATGGTCACCTCTGATATTTTATATATATATATATATGTTTTCTTCTTAACTTGTGATGTAATGAGTAACTTCTCAAGATCATAGATGGGAAATTGCTAGCACATTCTTGTTTGTCTTTGTGTTAATCTTTTTGTATAACACATACATTTCTTTTTATTTTGGTATATTTCATGAACCCTTGACCTATAGAGGTCAACACTAGTTACCTTTGCTAACTGCTGTTTGGCTTTCAGTTTCAAAAATACTTTGCAAAAGAATGTCTTCATTTTGTTGCAAGCCAGTTGTATCATTAGCAAATCTACTATCACATACTATGTTATGTCTATATAAAGCTCTTTTCAGTACTTTTAATCAGATCAATGGCTGTGCACATATATCTATATATATATATATATATACACACACACACACACACACAGAGTTGTATATATGTATGTATACCCACACATAACTAAAAGAAAGTTTGCTTTTAGAAATCATGTTACCATGGTAACCAGTGAGCACCTCAACAATCTTCTAAAGAATGTACTTAACCTGATTAAGAATACCATTGGTGTAGAAGGTGCTGCCTGGATGATTAGCATTGCAGGTATGATTTCCTCAAAGTTAGCACACCCTCCAAGAAAATGTTTAAAAATCTGAGCTTATGAATTTTAATAATTTTATTTATTTAAATCCAAAATTATTGACTAAATAATGTATTCTTGCTTTTGAAACTGAAAATATTTTTAAACCTAGACTAAACATATTCACATCAAATTGTTAAGAAAAGTACTGATTTATTAAGAATATGATATGAAAAGAATTCCAAAACCCTTTTCAAAATAGAATTTTTTTTGTTCTAATAATTCTGAAAAAAGTATTTATATGTAATAGTATTTGTTCTAATAATTCTAAAAAATGTAATAGTAGATCATGATAGTATCTTTTAATGCAATTTTCCTTTGTTGTTACAGCTAATGCAGGCCAAATCATCATAAATTCATCAGAAACACTGTTAGAAGATCCAGTCCTACCTTTGGCAGAAAAGATATTTTCACGAGCAAATGCTGTTTTTCATAAAGAAGAGTTGTTGCGGGGCTATCTCAAATCGTCCACTGATGACACATCTCTAGTGGAGGGACAGCTTCAAGAGGTAGGAAGTGTTTAGGCTATAAACCAGAGTAACCAATTAACCTGTTTTATGAAAATAAAATTAATTATAGTTTTTAAAGTTAACTTTAGAAAATCATAACACTATAGGTATTTATAGTAGTTGTTGAAGAACTCAGAAATGTAAATATACAGAGTCACATGTTATTCACAGTTTCAAAACAAGAACACTGAGTACTTTACATATAGAAATTTACTTTGATATATCATAACTTACAAGTTTAATATTTTGCGTTGTATCTCAGATAATCATATCATTATGCTAGGAAGTTAATATGTTCTAAGCATGTCATTGAAATATTACTTATATGGCAATAGTAATGCATTTTAAACTTCTTTTACTTTGAATTTAGGCAGTGTATTTGACATATTGCTTGTGTTAATTTTCACAAACTTCTCCAGACCTAAAAAAAGACACCATTTCAAGACCAAACTAAGGCAAAAGAATACTATAAAAATAAAGTACATTTTAAATAGCACACAAGAACCATAGAATTCTGCTGAATGAGCCCCAGGTAACAATATATCTAACCAGTTTTGGTGATGGGTGTTTTCTGCAGGTATTATTATGAATAATAAAATATGAAATTTTTGTTTTACCAATCATTAACAACTTTTTGCACTTGATGATTGTTGTTTGAAGATAGAAATTAGACATTTTATTTTTTTCAGGATTTTTCTCTACTTGTTAGAGATATATATGCATTCTATCCTTTGCTGATAAAGTATGTGGATCTACAGAGGTAAGTAAATGTTATAGTAAAATCTCTGTGTCTTTCAAAACTTAAACTTTCTACTGGTGTAAAGTGCTACTACTTCTTGATATCATTAGAAATAGAAAACCAGGGTATATGGCATATTTATCTTTTCTAGTTTCCTATGGTGTTATTGAAGCTGTTTTCCCCAGAAAATATTTAAAATACAACAAATAAAAGTATTCAAATAATTACATTCAATATTTTATGCTAAATAATTATTTATTGTATTTATTTAATGTACTTAATAAAAAAGAAAAAATTAAGAAAGATTAGAGAAATAATATGTTTAATTTTTGTAAAGTTCAAACAGCAACCTCATTATAGTGCTCCTAAAATAATGTTTCGTTTTGTAGTCATATATATTTCATTTATTTCTGAAAAATATGTTTTATTTGCTGTACGTCTGTAAAATAATATATTTAATTTCAGTTTGTAAAATATTATGGCACGTTTCTGCCTTTTTTATTATGTTAAACATGTATGTCACATCAGTAACCCAGTTTTTAGCATTGCAAATCCACAGACATACCACTGTGACTCTGGGGGCATTTCAAGATGGAAAGTCTTAATAATCAATATTCAACTGGAAATAAATGCTACAGAGAATTCATTCAACATGTTAATTGGAATATAATTTTTGAAAAATGTTTTACCTATAGTATTGATGATAAATTACTGGCAAGAGTAAACTTACCATACAACGTTTGATACCCATAGGGGGCAGAGCACAGATAGCCCATTGTGTAGCTTTGTGGTTAATTACAAACAAACCAGAAATAAAAATCATGGAGAATTCTTTCAATATTTTATAAATTAATAAATTCTTTATCACGTTGAAGCAATTATTACATTAAAATATATTCATTAAAATTACAATTTTTGGGCTATATTGTAGCTGGCTTACATTTTTTCTGTTGCTTTTAATATTTCAGTTCTCATAATGTCTCATGCGGTGTTTGGTTCAGCTATTTTAATAGTTATTGTGCAACGATCATGTATATAAATGTTGAGTCATCACATCATTCATTAATTATCCTACTTCATGTTTTACTTTTTAAGGGGTCACTGGTTGAAACATAATATAAAGGAGGCAGAACAATTATACAACTACATTGCTCACATTTTTAACCTCTGGTCCCGCTCACAGGTAAGGTTTATAGCTGCTACAGAATGGTATTATTGAAAGTTGATTCTTAAGATAAGTTAAAAACACTAACCATTTGAAGGGAGATATTAATTGGGATTGAAATATCAAACATTTTTATTCAAATTACTGGAATATAAAAAAAGCAAGTAGCGTGTAATACCTTAATGACATTTATAATAAATATATAAACACTGTAGATTAGGCTTGTGTACATTATTCAGCTTCTGACTTGTTAATATTTTAGGGGAATTAAGTATAATTTAGCTTCTTAACTTGTTTGTCAGATTTTGAGCCCACCCCCATGGCACAGCAGAGCTTTGTGTTTCACCACAAACACACACTCAAATTGTGAGAATTGAATATTGTTCAGCCTCATCACTTGTTAATTTGATTGATGAAATTAGATGTTCAGCTTCATTACATGTTAATCTGACTGGGAGAATTAACATCTTTCACTTTCTTGACTTGTTAGTTTGTGTTTTGATTTTCTTTCTTAATTTCAGAAGAAACCAACTGATTTCATTAATAGAATAACTAAACCCTGGGATTTTGTCATTTATGTATATACTAATATATTTATGATTGTTTTTAGCTACTTTTATTAATTTGTTTAACTTTTGACCTTGAAATATATTTTATAACCTTTTAAATCTTTATTAAGGTGAAAGAAGAGTTTTGGTTTTAGCAGACAATCAAAAAAATTAAAACTTATCTTTTCTACATACTTGTAGGTGTGTTTTTTTTTAAACATAAATACTTTTAACTTATAATATAATTTTACTAAATATATTTCATATCTCTATTTTAGTATTTTCGACGTGAGGAACAGAACTTTATTTCACAACATGAAATTGACAACATGGCACTAATCATGCCAGCAGCAGGTAGAGGGCATGGTGCTGTACAAAGTACAGAACATAGTAGCACATCAAAAAGAGTAAGATTTCTTTTGCATACTTCAAAGTTTTGTCTTATTTAAACAGATTTGCTATAATGAATAGTGAAGTATTTTTTGAATCGGGAATAGACTTGGAAAAATATATATATACTTAGCACATGGAATATGCATTCATAACTATGATTATTAGGTGTTTCTAAGCAATTCTAATTAGTACTTTAAAGCTCATTATATACTAGGAGAAATTGATTGCTTTAGGTTTGATTTTCATGAGATTGCAGAAGAGTCTTAGATGTTTGTTTAAATTCCACAATCAATTGTCCAGGTGAAAAAACGAAGAGATGGAAAAAGAGATAAGGACAAGGAAATAGCTTCCAGCCTGATGGTTGCTTGTTTGAAACGTCTTCTCCCAGTTGGCTTGAATCTCTTTGCTGGGCGAGAGCAGGAATTGGTTCAGCATGCCAAGGAAAAATTCTTGGAGGTAACTGTTTTATTTAGTTTAATCATAAGCTTAATAAAGAAATTACAATGTAATTAACCCTAAATGTATAATAATTTACAGACAAGTAGACAGTGACTGTTTCTTTTACCTGTTTTTCAGAAACAGCAAGATGCTGATATTTTTGATTATGTAAAAACTCAGCTGACTCTTCCAGATAAGGTAATTCTTTCCTCTTTATTTAAAGTTGAACATAGCTGTTGCTTTATTTGTATGTCCTGTTTTCAAAAATGAAATAAACACTTTGTCTAAATAAGGTTAGAGAAATTGGTCAGTTTTTGAACTCGATATGTTTTTTAATCAATTATAATGATGGGAGCTTACATTGGCACTTGTTAGTATAACTTATTATAATTTACCAGTTAAGCTTGAGATATTTCCCAATTGATTGATTCTCATATTGTCATGAGCTAGCATCACAACATCTGTGTTTTTTATGACTTGTAGTCTAAACTTGAAATACCTTCTGACAGATTGATCCTAGTGATGATATGAGCTGGCAGCACTATTTATATAGTAAACTTGGCAGTAAGAAATCAACACACACATCACCAAATGTCACCCCTGATCAGCTAGTTGAACGGATCATTGATATGGCCAAAGTTCTGCATGGGCTACATATGGTATGTGTTTTAAAATAAACCAAGGTTACAAGTAGGTTATTTTTTTATATTCCTTAATAGAGTTTTAATTTTTTTTAATATATTTCTCTCAGTAAAAACACCTTAGTAATACAAACTAACAGTATAATCATTATTTAATATTATTTAAAATGAAATAACTGTTAAAGCTGACATGAAGTCAAGCAAAACTAAATTATTGTATTATCTAATTATTTACATATAACAAAGGATACATTAAAACATCCACATCTTAACAAAATAACTTATAAACTGTTTCCACAATGAGGAAAAAATTCTTAATACTTTTTACATGCTTGACTTTTAGGCTTTTAATTATTATACATATATATAAAATAAGCATTAAAGAGATCTTGGTAGAGTTCCTGTTGTCCCTTGGGAGCTATTACCACAGGTATTATCTGCTATGACTTTAAGGTTACGACTAGGACTGAAAATAGGATCTCTACCAAATTCTCTTTAATGCTTATTTTATATTAAATTCATTATTGTTTTATAGTGCTGATTTTAATTGCCTCTTAACAATTAATGTAATTAATAGTATTGGAGCTATTTATTTTGTTATATATATATATATACACATATGGAATATAAAACAGTATAAAAGGAAAGATGTTACAAAAATTGCTGAATACCACTTTGAATGATAAATTGTCATAAAAATGTGTTGTTTATAATAGTGAAATTTAAATAATTGGCTAAGTTGTAAGTATTGCATATAAATGTAAAAAATAAAACGTTAAATTATGCAATTGTTCAACGTGAATGACTCTTCATTATCATTTTTGTATGCAGGTATTTTTTAAATAAATAAACGATGCAGATTTGACAAACGTTTTCTTACCACTCATTAAGATTTTGTGTTTAACCACAAGCTCTTCGAAGAGCTCACTCATCATCTGGTTGTAGGCTAGGCTTGACTGTATATGATCTTCAAAAAAGAAGTCAAACAAAATCTGAAAGGCAGTGATCTGTGTGCACTCTGGCCACCACAGAGAACTGTACCCCATATTTTACCATTGTAAATCCCTAACCAGATTGATAGAAAAAATTCCATAAATATATGTGGGATTTATAACAATGAAGTATAAAGTCGTTGAAAATATTGTTACAAATTATAAATGTAGATGCACAATAGTTTGACTTAGAAGTTTTTTAAAAAAATGCCTTTTGAGTTAGTTACACAAACATAACCTCAGAATCATTTAATAAAATCATTGTTCTATTTTGTTTAAATCATTTTGTGTTGGCTTTATTTACATACCATCAAAATTTGGGCTAAATTATCAGTTGCCATATTTTTAATATCCACTTGTACCATAATTAATGTTGCCAGAAAACTTTTTTTGATATGTACTGCAGTAAGCTTAAAATTACTAATACTTAGAGTATCTCATATATTTTTATTGATTTACACAGAATATAGTCCCACTTTTCTCAGTGATTACTGAGCATGTATGCTATTTCAACATCAGAACCATAGTTAATTTCTCCAAAATGGAAAAATAAGAAGACATTTTTCTTTTCAATGAGGGCCTACTTATAATTACATATTGATCATGTTTGCTGCTTTACTCAAACTTATTTGACATGTAGAACTGATGTGTCTCACAGAAAAAAAACAAATAAATCTATGGTTTTAATTAAAGTCTGCATCCCCAAACTGCACTTTTTTGTATTCCCTAACATTAAAACAAACCCTTAGCTTAAAAAAAACTCCTTAATTGAATGTTCAGTAAATAGTTTTGACATGAAACAGCAAAGTAGGAAAGAAAGTGTAGAGTATACCTAATCTAGTTATAATATAATTATTGCAACAGTTGAGAACTAAATCTTATATAATTGAAAGTGTAGTGTTGTCAGGTGCTACTAAAATTCGGCTATTGTGAAAGACAATAATCATATATAACTTTTGTTGTTTCTTTGTGATTGTTTTATTTCTGCTTTGATCATTTATATTAAAGTGTTGAGGAAGTTTCTTTTAATTTTTCATTTCTTCTACCACAAGGCATGCCAGAAAAGTTTAACATTTTGTACATGTTTATTCCACATTGGTTTATTTTAACAGTGAACAAGCAAACAAATTTAACAACTTGTTTGTTTTAATGTTTCTTATTAGACATGTTTTATAACTTACCTGATATAATGTACTGTAAACAAAAAAACTACAAAGTCACTTTTATTACCTTTGTATGTGTTTGAAATATGAAATGTATTAATGTTTGATTTTCAAAGTTACTCTACGTTAGATTTTTATTAAGTTCCTTGCCTGATAAGGTTGCCTTAAAGCTTGTAAAATAGATATTTGGTGTGGAGGTTTTTCTAAGTAAAAGTATTTCTTTGTAACATGGTATAATGAATATAAAGCAAATGCACTTCAGATGTTAGCATTATTAAAATGTAACTGTTTTTATGAAATTAATACCTTAACGTTAGTTTGATCACAGAATTAAATGTAAAGAACTTTTATCAATTCACTAAACTGGAAATTTTGTTTTATGAATGTGTACATAATAGTTTGACTATTAATCTTTAAACATTTAACATCATTAATACTGAGTACACTTTTTATCAACTAAACGAGCATACTTACAACCACTTTATTATGCATTTAAAATAATTTGCATGCAACAAATATCAGTTCTTAATTTATTGTTTTTGTAAGTTATTACTTACTACTGTTTTTAAATTAAACTGCAAGTTATTGTTTTTTATAATAAGTCTGTTATGCTTCTATTTCTGTTTTTTGTTGCACAGTATTTTTGTTAAATTTATTGCATCTATAGATTGACTATCCTGATCGTCGGAAAGACAGAAAAAACTTCAGCATAATGCATGTTTTGGCTAATTTGGTTGTGAGTACTAAATTTGATGCATTTTTTATTAATGTGTTTTAAACTATACTACTCTGCTGTGTAACAAAGATAAACAGATTATTGCACATTAATTTGCTAAATCCTGTTTTGTTTTGTATGGAAAGCTTTAATAGTGTTTTTGAAATAAAACTTTTTTTTTTTTGTCTTACATTAACAACTGATGTGACTTTTGGTAATTTTGATTTGTTTTATTAGAATACAATATCATTTATGTAAGTATTTCTTAACTCGTATATATTTTTCTTTAAAAAAACTTTCATTTTTTTCAAAAATTGTTTTTCTAGAATAGTACAAATCTTTTCGTAGTTTTTGAGTTTCAATATATGCTTTTATTAATTTTTCTAAAAAATTGAAAATCTATTTTACATTTCATTATAACAAACTAGCAGTGACTAGAAATCATATTACATAAACTTCATTTATTTTTATATTTGAAACTAATCAAAATAAGCCAACATAGAATAATTCAAAGCTATGTTTAGCTTAATTGTTTTGTTCTGTAACCAACCTATTAAATAATCACTGCCTGGACTACTGTGGGAAATATTTTGTGACTTCCAAATATTATATATTTTCCCTCATCTACACGTGTTGCAAGCTTTTGTGTATATTATTTTTACTTGAATTCTAATATCTAGTTCAGTAATAATCGTTTCATATTGTTTTTATTTAATTTTCCAGTAAGCTGAACAATAAAAATAGTGTTAAATGGAAAATTAAAGAGAAAATGTTTACTGGCTTTTTACTTTCCAATGTCTGGTAAAGTCATTACATGTTAAATATCTTCATCTTACAGAATATGCAAAAAAGTAAATAATTTTTTAGAATCTCTCCTTTTCTCTTATAAAAATTAGTCCAAAAGTAATGTACATGCATGCATTGTAGACAGATATTAGGAATAAGCTTGTATCAGTATTACTGGCTGTTATTTGATTTACAGTACACTATGATTCCTAGACATGAGGCATTAAACATGCCTGTTATGTGATTTCTAATTTGTTTGTCTTCCCACAAAGTATTATGTGTTTTGTTATTATGTAGTTTTCTGCCAGTCTTTAGATAGGTAATTTAAGATTGTCTGTCTCAAGGAAGTCAGATTTTCTGAAACAGTACTACCTCTTATAATCCAAAGCTATCATGACCTTATTTGCCCTCTAAGCATTGCTAAACCATTTTTTGCTAATAGTGCACCAATCCATTATATTTTCATGCCATTTCAGAACATACATATCATGTGACTACCCTCCACCAATCATACTGCACCACCTATACTAGCACAGGTAGCTCACTTTACTATTCTAGCACAATCCTCACTTTCTCGATTAGCATTATAGTGTATAGACGTGTGTTTATTTTGATTCATGTACTGAGCCCACAATTACAATTTAACCATCTTAGTATGTACCAGAATTGTGAATCTGGTACCTGACTGCTTGTCTCTACCTTCAGAGTGATCCCTTCATCCTCAAGTATTTCAATTGGAGTGTTCTTGCCTAGGAACACTACATATAGATGTGTTAGCCATTCAATGGAATGCCAAACTAATTTTTGTTCTTCTGTTCCACACCCCTCAACTATGTGGGTTGGATGTGTTCAGTCAGGATTGGAGGTGGCCTTCATCTATATGTTTACCCTCCTCTCAGACTAATCCCCAGGGTCGTTTTCATCCTTCAGCCACTTCTTGTCGTGTTTTGCTAGTTGCTCTGTATTGGGCTCAGACATGGTTCTTTCTGTTCTGACCCTTAATGGAGCAGCAGCCCCTGCCCTTACCTCTGTCCAGGTCACTCCTCTGATAACTGTGATCAGATGTATTTCATTCAGACATCACCAAACCCCATCTTTACGTGTGGCTTTTGTCTGGTCCCTCGCCTCAGCTCAGGAATTCTCTCCTCGTGTCACATCTTTCCTTACCTGTATCAATCTGCCTTCCTCATTGCCTGTGTACCAGAGACATTGATCTACCTTCAGATGGTGGCCCTTTTGCCATGGCTTCTGTTCCTCATCTGTCCTAATTCTTTACCTGGTTGTTTAATCAGGGCTTGTCTGTGTCCACAGTTGTTAGTTGTTGGGCTGCTCTTCAAACACATTCTGGACCACACTTGGATTACTCCTATATACATCCAAGGCGCTTTCCCCTGGATGTTTCTTGCCTAGGTGGACCTCACTTGACCATAATATTATATATCCAAGACGCTTCCCCTGGATGTTTTTTATCTGGGCGGACCACACTTGTTGACCTCAAAAACTTATGCAAGGCACTTCCACCGCTGTCTTTGCCCAGATAGACAGCACTTGGCACAATCTGACATACCCCAAGGCACTTCTCCTGGATGTTTTTTGCCCAGGGAGACCACATTTGGGCTATTCATATACAGTTTATGATCCTTTAGCCCTAGCCACTTATGCCTATATGACATTATCTGGCACCTTACTGTGACTGATTATTCCTCAATCACATTCTAGGACCTACTAAATATGTGGACGAATAATGCACTATCTGTTGAGAACAGACTGATTCCGAATTATCAGACAAAATTTCATCTCACTACTTATTTATGATGCTTCTCCTGTTTTTTTTTTTAAGGGGAAGATTGCTCTTGTTGCTACCAATATCCTCAAAAAGATATCAATGGACTTGCTCCAATGTGACCCAGGACTCTTCCCTTGGCACGTAATTCTTCTGGCTTGTTGTTTGTATATCCACTCTATGCTGATTCACATCATAGTTATACCGCACTGCTCCAAAGCAAAGTGATGTACATCCTTTTTCTTGAGTCTATGGTGCCTGCCTCATACATTCTGCCCTATATATATTACTGTTTTGTTACTGGATGAGGAGCATACCTGTTTCAAAAGTAGTGCTATACTCCACTGGTGTGCCTTAGTTTCTTCGTCTGGCACACCTGTTCTTTTCAGGTGGTTTTTATCTGCTTATTTGAATACTATTGTGGCTTCACTGGCCCCTCCACCTTTCAATGTGGGATTCTAGCTTTGGGTGAGTGGAGGTAGTATGGTTTCAGAAGTTAACATTTTCTTACACTGAAAATGTATTTCTGATTGGTACTTCCCTCCTTTCACCCACCCTTCCTTTTCACTGATATGCTGGTGTTTTAGTTTGTAACTCCCAATTCTAGAAAGTGAGGATTGTGCTACAATAGTAGAGGGAGTTACCTGCTCTAGTATAGGTGGTACAGTATGATTGGCGGAGGGCAGTCATATGCACATGTTCTGAAATGGCCCAAAAATAAAGGGGTATAATAGACTGATGCCCTATTAGAGAAAAATGTTTTAGCAATGCTTAGAGTACAAATCAAGGTTGGGATAGCTTTGGGTGAGAGGAGGCAAGTACCTATTGGAAATACATTCTCAGCATAGGGAAATGTTAACGTTTGTTATATACTGTTGAATTTGATTTACTTTATTATTGATTTGAAGATTTGTAGTATTACTGGCTGTTATTCAATCTCTACCATTAAAGTATAATGCCCAGGCATATGAGATTAGGAAACACTTGTCATGTGATTTCTGATTTTTTTGCCTTTCCAAAGTTGCTGTTTCGGTAATAAATTTATATAGTTGTTTTTTGTACATCATTGGATGATAGCTCATTTAAAATATCTGTCTCAAGCAAGTATGCATTTTTGTTATGTGTGTTGTTTGATTTTATAATTTTTTTATAATTATTAAGACTTTCAGAATAAAATATTCAGTTTCATTTTTGTGAGTTTAAAGATCTACTTGTTCTATCATAATATCAACTGTAAATATTTGTTTAATTGTTTTCAGGGCAAGTTATAACATGTTCTGGTGTTTTGTCACAACCAACTTGTAAGATGCTATCAAAGTTACAATTAGTGTGTAATTGTAATAATTTTTTTATAAACTTATTGAAGAAAAATATTTGAATATTTGCAATTTGTATATCTATTTTGTTATTTATATTATTTTATTGTTTACAGTCTCCACGCTAATATTAATTATGATTTGGAATATTGCAAAATTTTTAGATTTCATCTGTCCTCAAGAATTTGTTATTTTGCTTTAATATATTTAATTTGCACTCTCTCTTTTTATTTAATACTTTATTTTATTTGCTTTTTCTGCAACCTCCTTGGTAGATTGACCACCCCCAAGGGCAGCAGAAAGGGGTGTGGCGCAGTGTGGTCTCAACACAGAGAAAACGTGCTGTAATTGCCTGTTTCCGAATGACCTCACTTCACAGTCTTCCTAGGTAATCAGTTCAGTCAGTGTTAGCCAATAATAGTTATCCTGGAAACATTCAGACATGCAAGAAAAATGTCTCTCTTCATATAACCCTAAATGCATGCTTTGCAAATTTCACTCTTTACCTGCATCTATTGATATGAAACAAATAACCACAATTAAATCTGTGCTCTGTAATAGAGTGTTGGGTCAGTAGTTTCTGCATAGTTCTGTGTATACAGTTATAATGCACAGAACCTTTTATGAAAGTATTCTAGCTGTGGTTTGGGTCTGAAAGTTTGTTTTTAAACTACCCATTTTCATGGAAGTCCCTCTATGCTTTGAAAAGCATAGAACATTGCTTTTTGGTTTTGCTTGGTATGTTTTTTCAAATTATTTGTTTTACTTTTTTTTTACACATTTGGTATTGTCTAATGTAATTTAATAGTGTTGTCTACTCATTACAAGATCTTTAATATTTATTTTTATTAGTTACTTTATAGACTTTCCAAAGGTTTGTTTGTTTGTGTGTGTGTTCCCCTATAATTAGGCACACAATTCCCGTCCAGCTCGAACAGGATGGCTGAAATTGTTGTCCACATCCAAGAAACGAGCTGCAATAGCCTGCTTGCTTAGTGTTCCTTTGTATAATGTTAAAAGGTAACGTCTTAAATTTTGATGAACCACATTACAGGTTGTATGCATGCAAAGTCTTCTATATGTTCATTAATCATATTATATAAAAATGACTGATATAAAGAAATGAAAGAAGAAGTTAACTTATAAATGTAGAAGAATTGTAACTGTAAATAACTAATTTTGTATCCATGCAAATTTTAATTGATATTAAGTATCAGTTTTTATAATATTGGCTGAGTTCACATTTAATTTCTTTTAAGACTCCCGGGCATCAAAAACTGACCCAAATTTTTGGGAAAAAATATCAGAGCTGAAAAAAGGATTTGAGGCACCAGACTATGTCACCATAATTCTATAATACATTCTAAAAAAGATTCTTTTTCTGATTGAAAAAATATACTCATAAATCAAATCGGTAAAATGCTTTGCAAGGAGCATAAACATAGAAAGAAAGGGGACTGCTTCGCCTATGTCACTTGTAGATGCTGCTTACCTTTGGAATCATGCTCGAATTAAAGCAAATGATATTAATTGTAAGCGAAGAAATGATGCTTAAAGTGGAGAAAGAAGAGTAATGAGAAGGACAAGTACCCTGAGAGGTCAAAATCGAATTAGATTAGAAGGAAACAAGGTGTATGATATTGATTCTGGAGAAGAAGGAAATGCTGAAGCCTTTAAAACCATTACTGCTATATTCAGTGCCTTGGGTATTACCAATTACACAGCTTTGGAATGTTTATCTATTGGTGGATATTAAGCTAATGCATTGCAAAGTGTCAGACAAAGACAGAGGGCTGTTCAAATATGCGCACAAATAACCAATAAGTTATTCCAACTTTTGTATCTGACCAGTTCATTTGAATTGAAGACATATTTTATCGAAAACTACAATCACTTGTTTGGTGCAGAAATATTTCTGTGGTTGTTCAAAGACGTACAATGAAAAGGATGCTTGCCAACAAATTAAATAGCCTAGCAGACCAACAAAAACAGCTTATAGCCGTTCAAAAGCACTCAATGGTCAAATGTGAAGTTTTCATCCATGAGAGAGACATTTTCTACTCTGGAATGTGGAACAGATCTGCCAAAGCACAATTATACTTTCCATGTGGACAGCAATTACATTCATTCAATGAAGCCTTCAAGTAAAACATGGTCAAACAAGGAATGTAAGGATTGACAACCATGTATTTTCAGATATGCCGGTTTATTAACATGGCAGATGGAGTATCGAAGACCTTCACAAAGCATTTCAGAACTCCTTTGATAGCCATGAACAGGTTGGGGTGGATACATTTTGCGATATTGTTAAGCTGCTGACAAAAAAGAGACGAAACGAAAGCTGATTTGTCTACCTACTAGATTTGATTAAAATATGTCAGTTTAGTATTTGAGTCCATGATGGCAAGATTAAGCAACATGAAGTATCCTGAAGAAATTGTGGCAAATGATATTCAAGCAAGCATTGAGAAAATCTTATATATTATGTCTGACATATGAGTACACACACACAAGTATTTGAGTTTGTCATCTGATGATCAGATTCATAGCTGTACGTTTGCAGTAGGTGGACGATGTGATCATGTTCACAACCACAGCTATTGTGTTAAGTGTAGCAAATGCATCAATTTTTTCGACACTTAGGTTAAGCCAATCTTGGTGCAGTCTGCCTCATTACTGGTGGATGATCTTGATATAACAGAGGAAGAAGAATCAATGTTAGCATCCATCCCGATTCTACAAAATATGACATTATGGTACATGGCCCATAGGGTTAGAGCAAAAGTTCAATTTAATGCGATCAACAAAGTTAAAGAAGAAATGAAAATTGATTCACCAATGATGCTTCTTGTGCTTGACCATAAGCAGAAGGTGTTACTCATGAAGTACAGAGAACGTCAAGTGGAGTACTTTGGTAAAAAGGGTATGTCATTGCTTGGTTCAATGAGGGTCAGATGGGTGTGTGACAATGAAGGTGTTCCTGGATTTCAGTACAAATTCGTTGATTATGTGGTGGAAGGATACACAGAACAAGATAATGTACAAGTTGGGGCTGTACGGAAAGAGATGTTATAGGGTGTTCGAAGAAATTATCTTGATATCCGTACAGTGATTCTTCAAAGTGACAATGCTACGTGCTTTGCCTCACAGGATCTGATCCCATATATATACATATATATACCATCTCAATGTTGGAATGCAGGCTTCCACTGATGGGCACATTTTCCATGTCGAGAAGTGGATTTATATGGAGGCTCAAACTGGTAGAGGGGGACTGGATACCCACTTTACATATTTGAATTTGTAGATGGAAATGACATGTCTACGGAAATAGACATTTACAATACCTTAACATTTAGAGATGGGATCGCAGGCATGACCAGAAAAGTACTTGATGCCAAGCTGTTGAATGGCCGAATGTTAGTGAAAAAGTTCAAAGCAAAAACTAGAAGCCGAAGCACGCATGAGGTTCAATGGTAGGTTAATGCTGCTAAAATCATTTGCTCATCCAATATATCCAAGGCAGAAGTTTTAGCATCAAAGCTTAATGTGTGTGGAGTAAATGAACTGAATATTGAAACGAGGTTGTCATTTACATACCCCAAGGCACCATTATTTACATCTGAACGACGTGCAAGTTCTGAGTTGAATGAACAAGATCAAGTTGGGATAACTGCTAAATCACTAGCTATTAGCCAAGCACTGTTTCTGGTCCACTGTAATCGTCCTGAAGTGGATATAAGCAGTGTAGGAGGTGAAGCATTGTCAGAAGGGTGGGCATGCTATCCAGAGAATACAAAAGATGAAATGCCCAGGGAGTGTGTGGAAAAGTTAATTGAGTTATACAAAATAGGAAAAAGAAACAAAAGTTGGAAAGTGTTCGGCGATAAAGCTTCAGGCCTTCTAGGAAATTGGCAAGATAGATTTCTTGTCACCGCTTCCAAAATAAAGGAATTATTTTCTTTAACTCCAGCTAAAATGAGAGTATTGATTGATAGTGATAGAACAATGCTCGAAGACGTAGTGAAGCTGAACATTCATGTATGCAGGAATAAATTGCTGTATCTTCTGCCTCACTTATTGATTTAGATATGAAAACAGATTAACTTAGCCCTCATGAACAGCAAAATCTGAAAAAAGATTCTGAATAGTGGAGTCAAGTAGTTTATTTTTACCAATCAGCACCTTCTGGGACATAATATTTCAAAATTTGGCACAAAGCCTAGAGGGGTCAGTTTTTCATGACCAGAGGTCTTAAATAATGCAATGTTTGCCAATTTAAACTAGGAGACACCAAATTAACTTGGCATAATTAAGTCCTTATATTCTGCTTTTAGTAATGATTTTATAACAAACTCTAAAATAACTATGAAAGGCCTTTAATCATAATCTTTTTGAAATTATGATATAGTACCAAACTCTGAAGCACTTTTTTCCTTGAATTATTATAATTCTTTTTGAATTGTATGTGTCCTAGTGACTATCATGCGGATGTGCAAATCAGAAGGTTTGACCTTCAATGTGCTACTGAACATACTGTGCACTTTCAGCTTTGGACATAGTATAAAAGTGACACTCATTTGTGCTATTTGGTTAAAAATTTAGATGATAAGCGCTGTTAACTTATTGTCTGTCCTCTTGTCAACAGCTTTAAATTAGGGACGGCTGTATCTGAGCCTTGGGGTCTCTTACTTAGCCATTAACCCTATATGTCTCATAAGGTACTATTTATGTTGAAAATACCTTTCATATTTACACCCTTGCTTTAGATTATCAACATTCCCATAGGGTGAGATGTAAGTTTGTTTAGATGAAGCAAGTATTTTCAAACTCGTCAACACTGAGCCTCTAAATCAGATTTCTGGATTTCATTCAAGATAAGCTGAAGATACATATTTAGCTAATAAAAACTATAACTCTGTCCTTCAGGTGTGCTTTATTTTCATATAATTAAGCTTGAAAATATTGCTGACCGCAATGGTACCCATCTGATGAAAGAATGCATTCTAATCATTATATGAAAGTGTGATATTCAGTTACACTAATGTCTGACAGGTAAGTTTAAATACATTAGGAAGTGTATTGTAGAGAATAATTTTGAACTTGTTCAGTAAAAGAAAGAAACAAACACATATTCGATTGACGAAGAACCCACCTTGAAACTAATAATGGTTGGAGACGGCTTGAATGGGTAATGAAGAAAAACTTTAATATAATTATTGAACAAACACATAATTCTTTGCTAGACTGAAAAATTTTTACTTTTGTATATTTCACATTTGTGTACATAATTAAGTGTACACTTCATGGTTTAAATAAGTAGTAAACAGTATGATTGTACTCTTGGACTTGCACTCTATCATCACATATTATTAACCAATATATACTTGCAGTACATGACATCACAATTCAGCAGCTAGCTTTATTACCTAATTATCAAATATTGTCATCAGTAACACTTTCTACACTTGCTAAGGTGCTTACAAAAGCTACTAAGAACCCACAAAAGAGTTTAAAGTACTCCAACTTGAACTATATCATAAACATAGAAGTAATAACTGATAGAAATAAACAGAATTAGCCAATTCTGACTCCTATAGTAACCATTTTTCAAGATATTCATAAGTGATGCAGAGTTTCAGTTTGTCGGTATGTTTGATGCATGTATACATGCTGTCATGTAATAGCAGTAACTCACAATTTACTTCATTGAGCTGTTGACATACAAGTCCAGCCAGAACAAAGTTATTTCTATACTGTAAGTTTATATACCACACCCATACCCAGTCACTAAGCTTGAATTTTCATTCCAGTACTATTTTCTCATAGTATCTCATTTTAGGTGCAGCTTCTTTACCCATTAGCTGCCACGTGATTATTTGTGCATCAACTTTTCTCTCAAACATAATGCAGTATATTCAGATAAAACTGAATATTCCTAAAACAATGGGATATGTATGCTGAATATTAGTGCATTTCTTTATTACTCTTACATTAAGTTCCATGAAATTCACTACCTGCAGAGCATTTCAATGCTGAAATTGAAGCATTCTCTTATAAGTATTAATGAAACTAGCAAGTGCTATGTATCTTAAGAAATATGTCACAAGTCAATTAACCTCCATTAACCCCATATTACAAAGTATTAATATCTAGGTCAAATCCTTTGTTTCCATTCACAAGTTGTTTATTTGTTTCCTTTGTGTAATTGATTCATGTGTCATATAACACTAATGAATGGCTTTTCAGCTAAAATTCTCATCAGCCAGAATTAACATTCATGCTGATACTACAGTATATAAATATACATTTGGAGAAAACACAACTTCCTCACTGCATCTAGAGAAGCTATATACACTCTTTAGGTGTAAAGAGGAGAATCCAGTGAGGACTGTATGGTATGCTTCATATAACTTTCACCACTTGGTCAGGTCAGATGAGTAATTCTTGTGGAACATCGGATGACATTTTGGTAACTCTGAAAAAAAAAGGGTTTCAACTTATTTTCAGACTTCAAAACATCATCTTCAGTTGTGCAAACTGTGGATGAGCTAGGTATTACATCTCTTATAGTGAAACTGCATGATAGCTTGGAAAAGTTAAGGTCACGATGCATTTTTGTTCCAGCTGATCTTACAGTCAACAAACCAACCTAACTCTAGGTAATCGAGTGGTAATCATACAATGTAGTGCATACGTTATACCATGCGATACCACACAATAACTTGGAGACAAACATTAGCTGAGTTTTCAAACTCTTACATATCATATCCAGATGTAGAATCTGTTGATGCACAAGGCAACAGCAGTCCTAGCTTCATGATAATAAAATGGAAATTACACAGTGCAGTACATACATTTTATGATGAACATCATTTGATATCATAGACAGCAAAGAATTCATCCACATAACCATCCTAGTTACTTGTAACTGTGGTTAATCCCAAATTTATTGATCATGAGGTCAGCTGATGGTCAGATCCATGGGTTCTTTACTTGGCTCATTTTAAATGGCCAGATTAGTTTTGATAACTATTTTCTTTTCTCCTGGGTTGAGGTTTCCCAAAGCAGCACTTTCATCTTCCTTTGATTTCTCAGTCTTCACATCTGACTCCAGGTCAAGCCAGCTCACAAAATGTTTGTCACTACCATATGGACACAGCTGACTGACATGCACTATGTGCTTTCAGTTACCTTGATAGCTTGATTGCTGTAACTCTTACATTAATGGACCAACTCATCATAGCAGAAGGTAATGTCCCATCTAGCCAGAGCCACAGTAGTACACTCATTCCCTCACTGTTTTATCATATTACCTCATTTGTCATATGGCATCATTTCCTGGCACATCAATTAATGTAGAACTTAACCACATCTCGTATTCCTGTTGGATATGTGCTCTAGTGGGAGGACCATACATCACATCTCCTGGGAGCATGACTTCCTGCCCAAATATGATCATGTTTGGAAAATAAACTTTTTATATTTGACCAGTTCACAATATGCCATCATGACATACAATAAGTTTTTGTCTCAGTCATTTTGGTGGGGATTAACAAACACATCTTCACCTATCACTTTGCAAAACTTATAGAAAAACTGGCTATTAGAATTAGCTCACTGTGAATCACTTCTGCGGCTCTAAGATTGCTTATTCAGTGCTCTGCCAACACATCAGACTGTGATGATATGGTGACCAATGGGTAAGCCTCAGCCAACTTCATGAAGTAGTTGATGGTCACATGCAAATACAAGTAACCTCATTCCATGTGTGAGAGTTGACCAGTAATATCCTGAGGAGAACCAACAACTCTTTGCTCTATTTTACTTGGTTTTTCTGGCTTTTTGTCTGGGTGGCAAACAACATACAGTGCTGACATCAGCACTGAATGTCTCAACTTAGATAAGCCAGTACAACTTCTCTCAATTGTTAGCACATGTGTGGATAACACCTTAATATCTTTCAGTCTTTTTTTAAGCAAAATCTGGAGAATCTCCTGCCTGAAAGCCCTTGGAATGACTAATTGCAACACAGGCTAAGTACCACGGTTCAGTGTTTGTTAGGGAAGCACAGCACACATTCGTGCTCTTCTAACTGCTTGTAGTAGTGCCATAGATTATGTGTATCCATGCTATGTTCCTTATTCTAATCTAGTTAGGCTTTACCATGCTGCACAGTAAGGAGCTTCAATGTTATATCGGATCATTCAGTTGCTCATTTTGGAGCTTCTAAAGTGTTAATTGTGGCATCCATCCATTAATGAAATCTCATGCTGTATGAGTTATTGTTACTGTGGCACTAACGATATCAGCTCTCACTTGGTGTCCATGGTCTGGACACTTAGTGAAAAGACAAGGGTATCCCCTTGTGCTGAGACAGTTTGTTGATGTTTCTGTGTTGCTGGCCCAGATGATGATGTATGACTAAATCATATTTTGTCAATGTTATTGATCAACCATTTCAGCAACACGTGGTTCACCTGAACTGTGAACTTTCTACTATATAAGTACTGTTTTGCAAAGACCATGCAAGTACAGGAAGTTTTTTGTAGATCATACAGCATCTGCTTTCCATGGCTGTGAGCATGCAACTGGCATATGCAATTACATATTATACTCCAACTTGCAAATGTGATAACACTACTTCAGTTCTACTATCACTGGGATTAGTATTTTACAAGAACTCACAGTCCTATTGTGGAAATGCCAGCATTGGATATTCTATTAAGTCATACTTCTTAAATGCTGTATCCAGCATACTATCATCCATTTCATATTTTTAAAGTTTGTCAAACATTTCAGTGACACATGGTCCATCAAACTGGTGAACTAATTTCAGAAAGATAGAAAGCACATAGGAAGCCTACATGCCACACATGAAATTCATGACTGTTTCATTCATTACACGAATACAGAAATTTAAACATATCAAAATATGTGTCATTTGAGTATTAGTTAGTCCTTATGAATATTAAGCTACCTTCAAAGTATAAAATAATATAGCCAATGTTGTACAGTAGAAATGCACTGAATTATCACTTGGTTACCCTCACTGCTAGCGGTATTTTTGGCTTTAATCACAATAACATCACATGAGGTTCAGCAAACTTAACAATTTATGTCAGTCATAAATCCATATACCAAGCTATAAATGCAAAACAATCTTAATAAGTGTAAAAGAACATAATAATTTTCAAAGTTATTTTGAATATTATTACCAGTAATATTAATATAAGCAACTTTAAAAAAAAAAATGGAGAATGTCATTACTTATCAAAGTTGATGTTCATATTAAAGGCTGTTTCAAATCTTCTAAAATGGCATGTAATTGATTGAATATGTTACTTACCTTACTGAATGTGTTATAGCATTAACAACTATAAGCCTTTAAAGAGTCCATATCTTCTTATGGTTTTTTTTCGTACTGTTTAAAGTAATTACATCTTTTAAGTGTAATTTTTATACTTCAACAGTTTGAAAGTGAATTTAAAGTTGGTGTATGTTTTCTTTAATGGGCAGAGCTGGATAGGAACAGGCTGTTTAGAAATAGGTTTTGGTCTACCAAATGGAGTTATGTTAGAAAAGTTATAAAATATTGAAGACCTAGGATTGAAAATGAAATCTTGCCCTTCTTTTTTCTTTAAAGGCATCGAGCCATCAATATCTTCCTGACAATGTACCGTGAGATCTGGTTAGAAGAAGAGAACAACGGTCATGAACAACTTATTGAAGATCTCACTGTAAGTTTATTGAGTAGTTAGCTGACTCAGTTTACATTATGTAATAAATTGAAGGTAATGTAACATGTTATAAGGTGCATTTGTTTTTAGATGTTGATGTGTTTTATTAGTTAATGTTTTGGGAAATATTATAACATATGGTGGATTTCCAGCAATTAGATTAATCTTTTTATAAGGTTTTTATAATATATGGCTTATATTCCACCTTTTCAACAAAACTTTAAAATTTGTTAAGGCACAGTCATAGAAGGTTTCTTGTTAAATTTCTGTAAAATGTCTTGTCTATGAAAACTAAGAAAGTTAATAATTTATCATAGAAGCTTTTGAATGGAAAGTTCATAAAGAAAAATGGCACTGCAGTAACAAATATGAAAATAACATGCTAGGCTTACTTGTATTCTCTAAAATGCTTGACAATTATATTAGTTCATGATAAGAGTTGTTCAAATTTAGTTTTTTCTGTTTGAGCCCTATAAAATTTTTATAGTTAAGTGTATATCAAGGGAAGAAATACTTGAATGTTATTTTTGTCTTATAGAGAAACTAATTACCTTGTATTGAGAAATATTACATTTCTCTGTGTGGTCCATAGTTAAAACTTCATTACTTCATATTTCCAAATTTGGATGTTTTATTCAATTTAGTCAGAACTTCTTTGTAGAATTGTAAAAAATATTTAAAGCAACAATTTATCAATATTTATGTCATCTGACAGTTTCATTTTCAGTGTTTCTAGTCTAAAGTCAAGAACAGAGTATTGTTTTAGGACTCTTCCCATTCAGACAGTGTTCATGTGAATTAGTGTGTGCATGTTATGTTAGCTTACTCTTAGTCAGAGAAATAAGTGTGTATTTTTAACAGACATACATCTAGTAAGATTCACTAACCAAAATAAACACTAAAACAATGATGTGCAGCAATCTTTTGAAGAAGCGGAAGAGAAACGTGGCCAGGTAGAGGAAGAAGACAAACCTGATCCTCTTGCTCAGCTCATTGTTGCTTTCTCCCGAAACGCTACAACAGAACACAGGTACAGTGTCATCAACTTTGTTTTTATTATATTAATTGGTAATTGTTAGAATATAGTGGATAGTGATCTTTGTAAAGTGACCTCGTTACTATGTCTCATGTTAAATAGTTAAGTTTTATTAAAGCCTGTTATTAAGTGTTTTACAGCTTAATACTTTCCTGAATAGATCATTCCTCTACCCAACCACCTTACACTAACCATAGGATTTAATTTAAACTCAGCAATATTTTGAAGAAACTTTTAAGTTATACTTTTATATATGGTTTAGCTGTTCAGTATTTTAAAACATTTATTTTCTTATTTTTGAAGATTGGAGAAATATTTTTTCCATATAATTTAGTTTATGTTTTATAAGCATCATAACAGTACCTTATTTTCTGTACAGTGGAACAATAACAGAAGATGATTTGTACATGCAGTATGCTATTATTCTTGGTGAAGTGAGTACAATGTTGTAATCTGGTTAATGTTCATCTTTCTTATTTATTATATCTCAAAATATTAAACATTTTTTAAAGATATATAAATACACGTTTTAACTTTAATTCAGCAAACTTTCTGCAGTAACAGACATCTAGAGTTAAGTGTGAATTAATAATTATCTAATATTTTTGTAAGATACATACAGAATAATATCCTGCTGTTCAGTGAAAGTAAATTAAAGTTTAGTTTTATAAAACCAAATAGGATGTTAGGATGAAAAAAGAAGAGAGTATAACAAAACATTAAACTAATAGATTCATATTTTAGTGTAATGTTTTGTATGCATTCAGTAAATAGTTTAGGAAAAACAGTATGTTTTATTACATAAGTTTGAAAGTCTACCTGCACTTTCATTAAAGTAAAGTAAAGGTGAAGTAAATTTACAAAAATTCAATAACTTTGATATCATAACTTGAGTCTTTGGCTCTTTGAATAATGGCAATGACCATTAATACTGGTTACATGTTAGAATTAGTTGTGTATAAATAGGAAAACATGGTTATTTATCTGATATTCTGTTTAGATGTATACATATTAGTTTGTGCTTTGTATTTTCTCATCATGCAAGTAAAATGCTTTTGTGAAAGTAGTTTGGATATGAGAGATACCAATCTGTAAGTTCATTATTTTAAATTTGTGCAAAAGGTACTAAAGATTCATTTTTGTAATGAACTTTTGAGACATTTAAATATTTTCTTTCTTCATTCTAATCTAGTAGAGATAACTCTCACAAATTACAATCTAATTGTTTTAGAGCTGTGGTGGTGCAGAAGAAGAGGAGGAAGAGGAAGGAGGAGACGATGAGGCAGGACCATCTATACATGTGAGTTTTTAACATGTTTTGCATACATTTTTTACTGATTAACGTTTCATGAATGTGATAACTCCTGTAATCTAAAGCTACTGAGATATTGTTCTTATATCTGAAAATGATGACACCATATGTTACTTCCTAGTAATTCTTGAATGTGTCTTATTCTTGCTCTAACATTGAAAACTGTAATTGTGCATCAAGATATTTGAATGTAACTCAGTTTCAGTTGCTAGAAACAATATTTTTATTTTAAGCTTATTCTTGTATTCTGTAGTAGAGAGATAATTTTTTTGGAACATAAACCCTGGACATAGGAACTATAAGTGCTTGCACCCTACTTTATTTTAGGTGCAACGTAAACTAGGATGATGGTGATGACTCATAACTTGTTACTTCAAAGAAACTGGCTTTATTTCACTTTATTTGCAGTTATGATTCATGTGGAAGCACCAGTAATGGAGGGCACATTCAGCCACTAATATTTTTGGAAACAGTTATTTAACTGCTGAAGAATTATTTTTTATGATATTTGTCATACAAGAAATTAAAATATTTACTCTTCTTTGTTTAATATGCTAATTATGTTAAAAGTTATGAAAGTTTGTTTGATTAAACTAAAGCACAAAGCTACACAATGGACTATCTGTGTTCTGCCCACCATGGGTATCAAAACCCAGTTTCTAGCTATGTAAGTCTGCAGACATACCGCTGTGCCACTGGGGGGCATTATGAAAGTAAATAAACTTAATGTGCTTAAAGCAGTTTTTTTATTACCTATTAAATAATGGAATGTTCTTATTTATTGTTTTCATTTTAGATTTGGGCATGATGTTTTGTTTTTTATTGGATATTTCTTTAAAATTACAAAAACAAACTTGTATCATATGTTTTTGAGTCAGCCACACAATGAGCTTATGTATGTATATGTGTGTGTGAGATACAGAGCTAACTCTCTATCAAAACAGTCTCTCAAGTTTGTGATGGAGATATATTTGGGTAGTCAGTGTGTCCTTTATTCATTGCATCATCTTTAACAAGCTCATTTATATGACCATTGCCTTAAGATATGTTCCATGATACAACTTATTATATGTACTGCTGTGTTCATAAAACATTACAAATCAGGTGAAATATAAATAGAGTTGGTACATTTCACTCAAAAACATTACTTGTTAATAAATTATTTGATAGAGAAAATGAAATATTGTCCACCAAAACATTACTCTGTGTCTACCTTTTCATGCTGCATTTTTGTGGATAGAAAAAAATTGGTCTTATGATGGTAGGTGTAGAAGAAATGATTTTTTGATATTTCAAATCGCTTAATTTTGTAAATAGATAATTATAAATCAAAATATAAATCTTATCTCATAATGCCTGTAATGTTATTTTGTTTTTAAGTAAAGAAATTTATTTTATGTAAAAGGCTTAAATGTTTTATTTTAGCAAACTATTATGTAAAACCATTAATAATGCAGTAAGTACATTTTCAAATAAATAGTTTTTACTTTATACTTACCCTTAGTATATGTAAACTGTATAGGAACAAGAGATGGAAAAACAAAAAACACTTTTCCAACAAGCACGACTTGCTGATCGGGGAGTGGCGGAGATGGTGCTTTTGTACATATCAGCTTGCAAAGGTTAGTTAAACATTATAATGTTTACTTTTCACTTTCTGCAACTATATATATATTACATAAATTACAACAATTAAGTTGAAATGATGTAAAATGTCTATTTACATGACGATATTTATAACATTTTGTGAGATATATTACTTTACTTAAACTGTTTGAAACACCAAAAATTTTTAATTATAAAAAATAAGTTTAAGAGCTGTTGTTTCTCGCACTTATATACCTACCTAGAGATATACTTATCCACTGATGCAAATGTTCTGAAGAATAAACACTCAGGTCAAGCTTTAAAGTTGATTTAGATTGCATGGAAATCCTTCCAGTGTTCTATATGATAACTCAATAAAGTGGAGATTATAGCTTTTGGCATTCAGTTTGGTTAGAATACCTACATTGCAAATATTTTTTACTTTATATAATACCAACATAATATTTAATAGTTTCTTGCTCAGTATCAGTTTTAATTTCTTTAGAAAATTATGAAAGTGATCTGCCACTTCTAACATTACATGTGCATATAAACTGGAGCTGTTGACTGTAGACTTTTTTCACATTGTATGAGAGTCACCTTCTTTATTTTTAAAAATTAAGGGAGCTTGAGAAATCTTTAAAATTACTAATATAAAGTAAAGTAAATGTATGAAAGTAATGTTATATCTAGAAGTTGATTAGATAATGATATTACTTCTTTCTAATTTGGATAAAGTAATAAATATTAAGACAGTATTTGCCCCCCAGTAGCTCAGTGGTAAGTTTCTAGATTTATGACACTAAACATCAGATTTCAATACCCATGGTGGGCACAGTTCAAATAATCCATTATGTAACATTTTGCTTAACAACATACAAACAAACAAAACAGTATTGGATTCGATTTTTGATAAATACCCCTTAAAGTTTTACTCTTATATCCTAAATCTTTTCCTCATTTCCTTTGATCCACAATGTATTATAATTAGCAGTGTAAGTGAAAAGTGAATCAGTTTTTACCAGCTGGCTAAAATAATTACTCTTTCATTTAATGTTTAGGGTGCTTCAAACATATTCACTGTTCTTTAAGTCAGTTAATACATATAACAAAATGTTATGTAAATAGCATGGTTTATATTAATTTCGTCTTAATTGTTGTAATTTATTTAGTATATTCTGAGTATGCTAATTTGATTTTATATTTATTTTAGTTTTGAGAATCTTATAGCTTTAACTGAAAGCTGGAAGATAAATCTCTGGCAGAAATTTTATCTTAATTAGAAAGTTAATTTTTTTATAAAATCAAAATAATTTTAAAATCATTTCCAAATTTTAGACACACACACTAAAAAGCTTTCTTGGACTGTTGATAATAAACTAACTTATTATGGTTCACAGGAATTCAAGGACCAATGGTCATAAACAGTTTGAAGCTGGGGATCTCACTGTTACGTGGAGGTAACATTGATGTTCAAATGGTGAGTACCCTATTATATTATAAGATGTCTTTCTTTTTTAACTAAGAAGCTGTACAAAGCTAACTTTTATTATTCATGATAATAACAGATTAGTGATAGTAAAATGTTGAAATGTCACTTAATAAATGTATTGAACTTAATATGTGCATGTGTCAATGTAATGAAACAGCAGTTCAAATGCCGACAGACCACTGAAGACTAGAATAATTGAGACATTTTTAATCTGGAAAGCTTAGTGCACTGAGCTTTGTATTTGGAGTTCAAATGATATAAAAATTAAGTAGGCATTAAGTTAGACCTTTTGTATGCAGAAATACTACATGTTTTCCACCTTCTTGTTCAGCAGAAAAAGTTTTTTACATATAAATGTGTGTAGTTTTAACACAGAACATTGGTCAAGGAAGTGAATAAATTCCTTTAATCCCAGTTAACTACTGAACTGAGTCATTCATCTATGGTCTTTTATGGGAAAGATTGCTTCAAAGTATGTTACAATATGTGAAAGTAGATGGTGATCTTTTCCACTAGTGGGTCAGGTGATCCTTTAAGGATACAACCTTGATTATCTTTCATTGGGAATGACCAACAGTGATGGGGGTATCACATGTTCCCTGAGAAGAATAACGTTATTGTTTCATGTACATAATGTTATTTTTTCATACTCTGGAATGGATTTAAAGAGATTTCTTCTTCTTCACAGTGATATCTAGAAGCTCCAGTAGAGACACTGCCCTTCGTCACCTTTGACTGTGTATATTTCACATTGTTATACACTGTTCCCTACCTATTTTATTCTTTACTAGTCAGTCAGAGTCATAGAATTCAGTTTTAACTGTGCATAACATGTTCTGTAAAATCTCCAGTTATTTTTATGAAACTTACCTGATTACTCCAAGGGAAATCAGTGTACCTGAGAATATCAAAGGCCTCATTAGAAACTGCACGATTCTGTAGTTCCTTATTCACAAAGATTATTTAGGAATGGTTACAGAAAAGTTTATATTTTAACATTAACCTAATAAAATATATACTTGTCACAGAGAAGTATTTTATTAAATAACCTAGTATTATTTCAGTTAAAATAATTTATATATTAATTATAGTTCTACAGAACAACATAAACTAGCAGTTTCAATTATGCTGGTAACAAAACAGAATTCATGTCATGAATTACTGTGTATTAGTGGCTTATTTCAAGTGGTACACATACCATGCATTTGTGCATTTTTTGTAGTATTTGAATGTACATATTATTGTGTATTTTTTACTTTAATCTTTAGCGTATGTTGAAACACCTAAAAGAGAAGAAAGATGTTGGATTCTTTACATCTATAGCTGGTCTCATGAACTCCTGCAGGTGAGTTTCTAGTTACTACTGAACTTTTTTAGCCTAAAATATATCTTAGCTTTCTTTTATATGGTTTTTACAGTAAATTTAATAAATATTGAAATATCTTATAAGACTTTCAATGTTACTTCATGTACTGCATTTGTAATATTTTGTGCTCTGTGATCAGTCCCTCATAAACTTTAAGCCTAAAATGTTATTAAATATTCAATTAAATTGGAAGAAGAAACTCATCAAAGAAGTCTCAAACATTCAATATAAGAAACAAAATTTATAAATGAATTGGCTTAAATATAATAATAGTAATAAAATATATATTTTTGTTTATTCAGATATCACTATTGTGTGGTGAATTTATGTTTCTTGAGATCATTATGTTATTTCTTCCCATTCCAAAATGTGGCATCAGAATATAACACATTTGTTCCTTAAATACATTACTTTTGACAGCGTGCTTGACCTGGATGCCTTTGAGCGGACTCAGAAAGCTGAGGGTCTTGGCGTTGGCTCAGAAGGAACTGCTGGAGAGAAGAACATGCACGATGCTGAATTCACCTGTAAGCTTTTCCGTTTTCTTCAGCTACTCTGTGAAGGGCATAACTTAGGTAAGTTGGAAATCTAAAAGTGAATTATGAGAAACGTGGTTTCTGAAGTAGCATAATTACCTGTGTTTATTCACTTGTAGTTTGATATTTAATGTCTTAGGACATTTCATATGTTTATGTATTTTATGAACCATTTAGTAATTTAATAAAAAGAACTTGTTTTGTGTTTAAATATAGCTAATAATGAAACACACAGTTTTTTTGACAAAGAAACCTAACATCATCTAATAATGTGAAGTTAACTGTCATCATGTTGTACTTGTTTTATTTTTTACCTACTTTACCACATTTTGGCAATTTTTAAGTATGTTTATCTGTTATACTAATTGACCTCAATACATTTATAGGAAACGTCATGAAAAGAAATAAACACAAATATAACTATGACTTCTTTGATAAGTTCAAATAAAAGCTAACATTTTTCAGATCAGAACTAAATGAATACTAACATACATATCTCCTTATAAATTTTATGTTTAACTTATATTAATTTTACATCAATTTTTATTCATTCTGGAAAATAAAAATTCGAAACTATTATGCAAGTTTCAAATATATAAACCTTGTATATTTTTCTAGAATTTCAAAACTACCTGCGAACCCAAGCAGGCAACACAACAACTGTCAATATTGTTATCAGTACTGTTGACTACTTATTGAGATTACAGGTTAGCTTGTTGTTGTTTTTTTATCTTAAAATGAAATGCATATTATTATTAGTAGATTTCTAATGATATGTAGTTGAACAAACTTTATGTATTCATTATCTCTTTTCTTTAACAATTTGAAAGGTTAATATTTAACTTTAAAACAGTAATTATTATAAGTGTAATTAGTCCATTGCAACTTAATGTTTAGAAAAAATTTTGGAAGGTTTAATTTGCTATAGCAATCTTTTATTTGGTTGATGGAGGACATTGTAAGAAATTTAATCTCAAAGGTTTCTGAACTTGACGGTGATCTACGTTTGAGTAGTTATTCCTAGTCAGTTATTATATCTAAATGTAGCTTTAGTTTTTTCATACACTTTCTCTTGGTTTTCTTCATAGTAAAAAGATATATTTTAATGATAATAAACACAAGATATTAGCAACTAACTTGTGTTTTGAAAAATATAATGTTCTCCAGTTCACAATTTTCCTACAAAATTTAAATGTTTATTAAAAGTTTATTTTAGAAGAAGAAAAAAATACTTTACTATTTTGTCTGTAAATTTACTGTAAAAGTAAATCAAGTTTGATCGCTAATTACAAAATATTACTATGTTTCCATTATTATTCTTGCCAGTCTGCATTGTCTCTTCTCGTTTAACAACTGAATTTTGTAAGATAGACAAAATTTGATTCTTAAAGTAATAACCTAACTTCTGCTATTGGTATACGGAAACAATACAAAGCTTTCAGTACATGTAATTATGGTAGTTAAATTGTTAGCATTTTGTTCTTCATTTTATCTTTTTGTTTTTCTAATTACTCCAGGAGTCAGTCATGGACTTTTATTGGCATTACTCTAGTAAGGAGGTCATTGACCAACCTGTAAGTTTTCTTTTTCTCATCAGATTTTTATTGTAATTATTTTTACATTTGTCATATTTTGAAAACAAAATATATATGAAAGAATTTATGTAATAATAAAAAAATTTATTTTTGTATATTTTCATGAAATGAATCTGTTTGTGTTTAAGTTTGATTAGTGCTTTAAATTATGACTTTTAAACTTTCGAAAGTTTTTAGAGCATAGAGATAAACATTATATTTACTGTACTTTATTGGTCCAGATTTTTCATGTAGAAAACCCTCTTTTTACAGAGCCAGAGATTATTCTTCTTTTAGTAACTTTGTTTTCTTAATATTTGTTTTTGAGACAGTTGTGTATATTTTGTTACATTAAAAAAACAAGTTATGCAGATAAACGTTTATAGTTAGTTTAATTTAATTACTGCAGCCATCTATGCCATTTTATTTCAAAGAATGTCTAAGGTTGACCCATTTTACTATGGAATTTTTATTATTACAATTTTCACCATAATAAGAAATATTTGTTTTGAAGAAAAAAAAGAGAGAGAGAGAGAAAATTAGTTTTGATCCAGCTGTGAAGTTGGACACCTTCAAATGCATTTAGTTTTGTTTTTGCATTAAAAAAACGTAGGTGGGTGTATCATCTAAAGATTATGATAAATAACTTTCCTCACTTTAAAGCCAATTTGGTTCACCAGCCAGTGTTACAAGTTATTGATCTAATTTGGCTAGTGAAGTACTCTAGGATGTTGATTGTCTTTACATTAATTACAGAGACTTGTTTATTGTACTTATGAAAATATTTTTATTTCCTTATTAATTTAAATGATATTTCTAGGGCAAAGACAACTTTTGCAAAGCTATAACTGTGGCCAAACAAGTATTCAACACTTTAACAGAGTTTATTCAGGTGAGAAATATTTGGACTATGTTGAGTGCACTTTACATGATGTTCTATATATATGTATATATTTATTATTTTATGTGTGTGAATGCTGTTAAAGAAGGCTAAGCATAATTTCTTACCTCTTTATTTAAAATGGCCAATAATGGCCCAGTGGTTAGTTTCAGACTGTGGATCTGAGGTTCCATGATTGGTGTTCCATTACAACAACAACAAAATCACTCTTCACTTTTTGTAACTGTGAGTGCAATATAGGAGTGATGGTAAAATCCTGTTATTTGATCTGACAAGAGTTGTTGGTGGGTGGCATTAACTAGCTGTCTTGCCTCTGCTGTATCACTTCAAAATCTGGGAAGACTAGTGCAGGTGACCCTCAATAAAACAAACAAAATCTTTATGTAAAATAAAATACTTTAACCCTCTTATTAAGTTTCAAGTCCATTTGATGCTAGTTATGTGATAATATTATGGTGCAATAGAATATATACATTTGGGTTTAATATAATGAATTTACATTAATTTCTAATGTTTAATATAAATGAGTAAAAGCATGCAAAGGAAAAATGTTTTATGAAGTTAAGACTCTTTCAATTTGTTTTAAATTGTATGTGTTCAGTGTGAGCCAAACCATGACATATAGAAGAGTTAATATCACAGAATAAGTTTTTAAGCTTTAATTTATATCTAAGTTAGATAATTATATATAGAAATGTATGTTAATATTTTTAAGAGGCTGGTTTATATACCATTCAAATTTTTAATTGACCGTTTCCTTCCCAATGATACCAAATGGAATCACAGGACAATGATGCTAATCCCTATGAAAACCATTGGAGCACAATATTGACTTTTAATCAAAATCAATCCATCTGGTGATTGAAATTGTATAAATATAAAAATAATTTTCAGTCAGAAGGTCATGGCCAAGTGGTTAGGGAACTTGACTCGCAATCTGCGGGTTCGAATCCCCGTCACACCAAACATGCTCACCCTTTCAACCATGGGAGCATTATAATGTGACGGTCAATCCCACTATTCGTTGCTAAAAGAGTTGACGGTGGTTGGTGATGACTAGCTGCCTTCCCTCTAGTCTTA